ATAGACGCTCCCCCACCTTACGAACGAATCACATTCCAAACTACCGTCCGTATAATGAACTGCATTCATGAGCAAAATTAAGATAATTTACACATTATATCGAATTTCTGAAAACTAATGAACAGATTTTAATGAAATTTGGTATGAATACACATTTATAATGGAGAAAGAGATGCACCATTCAAAAGTCATTTTGTGTACGCATGGTTGTCAGTAAAACTCAGAATGAAGGAATGTTCAAAATTCACGCTCTAATATCGAAATGGAAATGAGTTTACAAGCGGTTCATACTGTACAGAAAGCAGCTGAGGAGTCAGCTGTGGCAGTCGATACAACTCCTGCAGCAAGGCAGTTTTCAACTCCGGAATGGGTTTCCGGAAGGGGATGGCGAGATAAAATTTCCCTGCCTAGTGCAACCCAAGCATGCTCTGTAGGCTTGAGGTCAGCAGATTTGGCTGGCTAATCGATGCGACGAATATCTTTACTTTAATGGCAATCGTCGACCAGCTGACTTCTATATGGAGGAGAGTTGTCATCTCTCCTCCATATAGAAGTTCTGGATTCTTGTTGTTAACAAGAATCCAGAAACATCTGCTTCCCTGAAAAGTCGAATAGAGCTTTACGATCTCGTTCCTATGTTACAAAGCAGCCAGGGAGCCTTTGTCAAACACATGCAGGGGTGTGTGTTCGTCTAACACAATGTCTGCCCAAATCATTACAACTAAATATCTGTGAAGATGAGGGCGGGGTTATATCGTGTTCCAGAACACGTACGGCGGGAATCAATGTCCGAAATGAATCTCGACTCATCTGTAAAAAGCACGATGCTCCGAAGAAGTCTGGTCTAAGGTGCATATTGTCTGCACCATGTTAAATACACCCTCTTATGTGTTGCAGTGAACGCATACAGCGGGTCTTCTGGCATACAGTCCTATTTCATGATGCCTTTGCACAAATGTAGGTCATAAAACTCGATTTCCAGTGACAGAATACAGTTCATGTGAGAGCTTTGAAGATGTAGCAATCCTGTGTAGACGAACTGAAAGTGCCCGATAGAGATCCTCATTCGTTATGGACTTTGATTGACCTTGTCCAGGTCTTCTTGACATGAATCCAATGTCTTGAAACAGTTTCCACAAATTGCATACGACACAGGGGCGTCTGCCACTGGCCTGCCTCCAATCTACCAACAGATCTCAATCTCATTCCGTCATCCATTCTTTCGTGGCTACTTATTTTAATTGATACCTTATAAAATCTGCCAGATTCTTACGAGAAACACTGCGAATATCATGAATGCGTACGAGTACAAAAAACAGCCAAAAATCCTTCTTGCGTTTATATCTTCTCAACAATCACAGCTCCGAAGACACACACGTGGAAGCTCACGTGCTGAATATTTGCATAATTCTTCGGCGGTATAGTTAGTACCTTTGATTCAATACTTTTTGTAAAAGCAGATAAATTTTTCAAATTCTCTTAATTCTGCGCATGAGTATGATGTGTAAAATGTTAATAGATTCGCAACCATACCTCCTCACGATAAGGGCTATAAATACATATATAATCAAATAAAATGACATTTATCAGGTATAAGGATTCTGAATCCAAATACGGAGGCGTGACGCCATATTCTCATTTTTATCGATTGACGATATTATAAATAAGTGGTGTTACCCAGCTTTCAACATTTAGAAGTAAATCATCGGTATAAATTTGTAGATCCTTAAACCGGGGCTGATACGCAGACCTTGGAGGAACTCAGGAGATGCAAGAAATAAGAAACACAGAGGCACTACAAGATAGTACTTAGAATTATATCTCGCAGAATTTACTTTGCGGGGTTGCCGGTTGTGAATTATTGAAATTTTATCTGGTTGTGAATTATTAAATTATGATTATTGAAATTTTATCAGCAATAGCTGAGTTATGGCAGTCACAAATTTCAGTATAACGCAATATTCTTTTTTTTTCAAATTTATCAAACCCCATTTATAATTTAATTTTTTATTAATGAGTTTGTAGTGAATTTATCGTATAGGATAATATCGCCATTGTTCATGCTGGCGAGAGCTCGGTAAAGTAGTCATCAATCTGTATACTATGTAACCAATAAAAACCAAATAAACAATTAAAAGTTCTAAAACAAGTAAATAATACATTTTAGATGCAGTGCATTATAAACAAAAACATACAAATAGATAAAGAATAATTACATTATGCAGTACCGTACATTGGATTGCCGTCTTTGACGACGTGTGGATGGGATGACGATGAGGCTAGCAGATCTTATGACGATGAGGCAAGTAGATCTTTAAAGGAGTGTGGGAATTTGCTTGAAAAGATTCACTCACATGTAAAATGGGTATTTGTGGTAAGAAGGGTGTATGAGAGGAACACTAGTTTCAGATGTGCTTTTTTTAGGAAAATAAAGCATCTAAACTTCTCTGTACAGGTTTCCGTTATTTCGTCGTAAATAAAATCGTTCGCTCTGTATGTCATCGTGCACTACCATTTGTCTGTTTTCTTTTCTCATTCGAATAAATTTCACTTTTTTAGAATAGGTTTATTCGTATTTACGAAAGTTGAGTTCGTGAAGTGGGAACGACTGTATTTGATCCAAATAAAATGTATAAATATTTATAAATATTTTTTCTAAGTGATCTAAGTGAACAACTCTTTCATTCTTTGCAGTTCTTTATAAGAGATTGATAGCGCAAATATTCTTATAGTTTTTGTAAGATATATAAAGTAATAATATAAGAACTGTTTAATTTGTTTTTTCATAGAAGACAACTGTGATGTTTGAAACAGATTTCGTTTCAAATCATTCGACCAAACTTCAATGATTAAATTAACCTATTACTGAAATGTACAGGAAAAGATAACTTTGCAACTCGCTTAAATGTTTAGAACTCATGCAAAATCTTACATTGCTAACTTTTTTTTATCTGTATATCCGTCTAATAAATACATTTCTGAAAGTTTTGTATCTGAAAATAAAAATGTTGCTGGAATTAAATTTTTATTCAGTTAATATATTTTCTTTTAAATATGAATTGTAAATAATGGATGAAAATGTTATTTTACTCCAAAAACAATACGCGAGCATTTTGCATGATAAAAACATTGGCAGCTATATTCCATAAAAATGTTTTATTCACAAAATCACAAAAATAAAGCTCTGTTTGTATAGAAGCAAATTAGCATTTTTATAGATTTTTCTTTTGCGAATACAAAACTGATCTTATAGAGGATATATTACCTAAATATTTTTTATGCCTTTTAAATCTGAATATAAGTGCATGAAGATAGTTATCTGCTGTCAAAATTCTCATTGTGATTGTTTCTTTGCTATGTCTGTGCCCCCTCATAAACATTATGTTAATATTAAAAGCACCCATACGAAACAATTACTTAGTAAAATGGAAATCTCAAATCTAGAGAAATATTTGAATGAACTTGAATTGGGAATATTCGCCTAAATATACCACCTTGTAATGGAATAAAAGTCCTGACTCAAATGGCCGAAATATGGTTTGAAGCATTACAAAATATATTTTAAAAACTACTTACCGTTTCTTTAAAATAACACGCTCCATGATTTATGAAGCGAAATTTGTCCTGAATGAAGAAAACTGCATTAAATTCATTTGAAAATACTAGCGAATGCGAAAAATACAAAAATCCATTAAATGAATCTAATAATAACGTTTTTTTTTTTTTTTTAAATGAAAAGTCCTAACATGGAGATGCACCAGTTTCCATCTGGCACTTACATTTATTCTACGCTTCTTAGCCTTTGAAATACGCCTTCTATTTATTCACATTTCCAGGCGTGCAATTATTATTATTTATGTTACTCGCAGTCTGAATTTAGCAAAAAATTTCTTTCCACTTGTAACTTAATTTAAGGGATTGCAAAACAGATGAAATGGAAGCAAGAAAATCACCTTTCAAAAGATGAATGATCATGCCACAGAGATTTACGTGAATCATTATATCTGCTTGATTATTACTTTAAAAAGGCTTCAGAGTCATGAAATCAAATATAGAAAAAGCTGATTTGCTGCATTTCCAGAGCATAAGGTTACCTATGTTTCACCTTATTTCTGAAACATGATGAATGATAATTTATAGAGAAAGATAGATATTTTATTCTTGTACCGAAGTTTCTTCAAACGGAAGTGGTCTTAAATTAGCGATAATGCTAGTTTTAACAGAAAGAAATCAATGTAAATATCAAATTTTTTCTTTCGATTTTAGCCTTTTGTTGTCTTTAATATTCAAATTTCATTCATACGGTATTTATTCAAAAATAATTATATTTTACGAAAACGCGTAACTTCGTTATTTTATACACTTTGATCAATTACAATTTTTATGTTTTAACTTAAAAACCTTTTTAAAACTTTGTAACATAGAATACTTATAAGAAATAAATATACATTACAGATAAATTGCTTTAAGACTAATTTTGGTTTTTACTTAATCCGAAATCAGAGGCATCGGAAATGTAAATAAATACGTTTTAAATAATTCATATAATTTAATGGTGTTTTATTAAGTTATTATGATGAATATGTTGGTTGAATAAAATCAGTTAGTTTAAATATATTTACCCATTTACAAACTATCTATGTAGACGAGGAATATGTAACTCATCTTCCGTGCTTCAATAACGTGTGCCTGAACATATGGTAGACATACCAATTCAGATTCTTACTTTACAAATTAATATGAGTGATATTTTTAAATGTTATTTGAATATCAAGAAATTAACTAGTTTTAAAATCTAAATATTCTAAAATCATACGATAAAAATCAAAATGCAATTATTTTTCCAGATTCACGGAATGTCCTACTATAAGAAATAGCAAAATGCTTCATTATTACTCAAGGAATGAGTCCTGCGCATCCAGGGGGCAGAGTGTTCACTACGAACCGTCAGTCTTCGCGCCTCTCGCTTTATCTACTCATTCCACGAATAGGCAGCCGAACCAACGTGATCGATGCGGCCGGCCGCGCTTTCGCTCTTAGAGCGCCGTTTACGGCATGCGAATTCCGAATTTGAAGAAACTTCCTACGTTTCAACTCTGGACGGCGATTATTACGATTGGATTGATTGCATTAGGACAAGACGCTCCTTTTTTGACTGTGGTGACTTGCTGTCAAATGAAACGATAGATGAATTTGCTTCAAATCAGAGCTTATTTCACATTTCTAATGATACGTCATTTTATTATACTTCAACCCCCAGAAAACCGTCTCAGGATGAAGAAGAACTGAGAGAACTTTATAGAGTGGTTGTGCCTGTAATGTTAACAGCCTGTATTCTTTCACTTGTTTTTAATCTGATTATAGTTTACAGTGTTAGATGGTTACGAAAATCACTGTCTCCTACTCTGTATCTAAGTCTTTCTCTTGCAGTAGCAGATGCATATGCTTCTTTGGTTTTAGGAGTGGGGTTAGTAGTAAATAGTCTACTACCTACTGTATATGGTGTGGATCTGGGACCTTTTAATGCTTGCTATTTGCTTGTTTTAGAAGCGTTCAGATTAGGAGGAATTGTTGTTGCAGTTTTACATCTTCTTGCACTTGCTATCAATCATTATGTAGGAATACTAAGACCTCTACATTACGCCTCAACAGTTACTCGCAGAACTGTAATGTGGGCAATGGCTGCTATGTGGATATTACCAGTTGTGGTTTTCTTGGCTTATTTTTCGTTAGTTCCCAATGATGGTTTTAGATCTTTTCAGTGCTCCAGCTACGATTTTCTCCTCCGAATACCTTTCCGAGTGACAGTTTCTGTGCTTTTCTTTGTACCTCTGATCTTAATGTCCATCATGTACGTGCATATGTTTATTGTGGTCAAACGACACCAGCGTGGTGTGCTTCAGTTGCCCTCTAGTCGACAGCTTCATAAGAGTGTTAAAGCTATTATTACAACTTTGCTTATTCTTGGAACTTACGTCCTAGGATGGATGCCCGCTGTTCTTTACTTCATTCTCACCTGCCTGGACTGTCCAGTACCCTTCACAGAAATTCATTTATGGGTGCGTGTTCCGGTCGGCATAATTACCAATTCAATGATTGTGATAAAGTCATTTGTGGACCCCATAATATACGTTGTGCGCATGCCAGAAATTAAAGGAGCTATGAGATCCATTTTCAGGACAAGATGTGGTTTTATTGTGGATGAAACGGGAGATCACCCAAAGTCTAAGTCTGAAATGAATCGTCTTACAATTCTAGGGGCTTCTAGAAGAACAACAGTGGATATGAAATCTAATAGTTGCAATGGCGGGGATGTACAGATGATGGCTTGAACCCCATTACCCTGTTGAAGTTTACAATGGGTGAGATTTCATGTTTATCAATAATCATACTTTATCGTTAATCAAGCTATATTCGGTGTTAGATAATACAGCATTTACAAATTTATCCAATTTTAATATTTGAAATGTATGTGTAAAGAATATTTATAATTTTGCAATTAAACAATTTAGAACTTTACGTCAGAACATCTATATACATAGCTGTGTAATCGGTGGGCTAATACCTGATATGAAACTTAGCAAAAAGACGCAGCTTCGAATTAACTCTATCGTGGTTTTATGTTCTCGGACAATTTATAGCTACATCTATGAAGAAATATCTTTTTTCCAAGCACGTATAGCGAAATCTTTGTTAAATGTTATATAATTTAAACGCTTTAATTTGACAAACGGAAAATGATAAAAATCACTCTTAATGTTCCAAGATTAGTCTGAAAGAAAAGTGTTTGTAGCTCTTTAAAACAATTAGTCTTTTGTAAACTAAGAATTAAAATGGTTGGAAGAAAAAAACACTTGGATATCCCGAACAGTTTTAAGATCATAGCTTTTATAACGCTTATTTCGTTTAACAGCGTTTAACTGTATACGAAAATGTAATTTAAGTTGATGCATGATAAATACCATTCTTTCTCTAATCATGCCATTTCAAGTATTTAAATAACGAAATTCTCAGTCAACAAGGTAAAACAAGAATAGAGTTTCTTAAAGTGAATTTATAGCAATATGTGGGGTTTAGGATATTAGGAAATATTCTGTAGTTATGTGAAGAATTAAAGCCTGCTCGTATTTTAATGGTGAGATTTGTTGAACATAAAAATAATGAAAATGTTTTCAAATGTTGTTGCTTAAAAGGACAAATATTTTCCAATGTATCTCAGACAATTGTATTTTTAAATACATTTTAAAATACTTAAATGAGATTACTGAAAATAAAGCTTGCAGAAAATACAAAATACTGCAGGAAAAACCCTAATGCTTAATCGAGAATCTGAATACAAACAAATTTACGAAAGCATCTTACACTAAACATTTAAATTCAAAATTGCATTTATTTTTATATAAAATCTACAAATTTCTTTTAACAATTTAGCAAGCAAGTGTTATTAACAGTTTTTAATTATCAAAAAAGGAGAGTGTATTTAACAAGATGTCTAAACATATTTAAATGTAAAGTAAATACCAATAATATTCACTGCTTTTGAATGTACTTAATATTAGAACGTTAACCTTTTTTCATGTACATTACATGGACATTAATGGTAGTAAATACATTTTAAACTTCATTTAACCACAGGCTGTATATGTAGAGCATTTACATCAGAAGAAAAATATTCCACATATTGAATTTCGTATTTAATAAAACTGACAATAATTTAAACAGGTGGAGTATTGCATAAAGCGTGAAGAATTGTTAAAAATCAAGGTTTATTTTGGCCATGCCATATTTTCATGTAGTGGATATTTTACTCTAATGCATTAATTAAACCTTCCTAGTATTTTCAATTTACTGATTCTAAAAACCAAAAAGGATTTGTTGAAACTTTCAGAAAACTTTGTTTTTGTCTTCATTTTTACAAAATTCTATCAAATCTATTTAAAATGTATTTAATTAAAAATAAGGTTTTAAAATAGTAATTTCAAATCAAAAAAGAGTTGGAAATTTCTAAAAATTTTATACATTCTCTCATTATGATATAAATCAAAATATGAAAAGTACTAAATTTTTTTAAATTTATTTTTAATTTTTAGGCAGTTTTCGTTTTAATTTCTCATTGCTGTGAAGGTAATCATTCCTTTCATGCCTGTTCTCGCTAAAAATACCGAAGATATAAATTAAATATTAAATAAAAGTTTTTTAGAATAGAAGGGCGAGTGTAATGTTTCATTATTTGATCAGTTTTACATAAACTGAAGCTTATTGTATAAGATATATCTCTCTTTGCATTAAGGTATGTCTTTGATTTGGTGACACAATTTGTTGATACGATCTTAGATATGATTTGCTGAGTTGAGTGTGAATTGTTTACTTAAGGTGAATTGAGGAGCTTAGTTGCTGTTTAAATAAAGAAATAAGATTTTAGTTTATTGTTGCTAATGTAACTATATTAAAGTTTAGAATTACTCTTATGATTGTAGATTTTTCTATTTTTCTATTTGTAAGGTATTTTTCCCTCCTTGCTGTGCACCTTCGGGGTGTAACTGGATAGCACATCCGATTATCATCGGAAAGTCCAGTGTCCGAATCCCGGCAAGAGCATTGCACAATTTCTTGTTCCTGCATTGATACAACCTAATGAATCTACATACTTTATTTTTGCAATGAAATGAAGTCAACAGTAAATTTACCATGTTTTCTTTTATAAATTAATGGGCTGATATAATGTGCTTGATTCATCAAAAGAAGAAAAGGTATGAATAATTAATTAAGAAGAGTTCACTCTTCACGAGATGAAATAATATTAGATGATATCTTGCTCAAAATCTATCAAAGTTGAATGTCTGCACTTTTAAACCGTATCTGTTACTTGCTTACGTTAACATGTGTTGCATTGAACTCCATATGATTACATGAACATTTAGTTTTTTGAATTATTGATTTAATAATTATTTTACTACATTTTTTATAAAAAATCCGGTTCTGAAATAGCTTATCAACTCTGTTCCTCTCTTTTGTATGCGGAATTTGTTTTCTAATGAACGCACAAAAGTGTTTGCTTAAAATTAAAAAAAAAAAAAAAAAAAAAAAAAAAAAAAAAAAAAGCGAGAAGGACATAGAAAAAGTTTTATGATTAAAAATTAAAGCTGTCGATTTTACTTTGAATAAAGATGTTTACTTTGAATAAAGATTTTACTTAGAGATAATATTAGTTAAATTTCTTGCGAATTAAAATGTTTAACTATTGCATACAAGTTCAGAAATGATGATGGAATATGCTTAAAATGAAACAGCTACAGTAATTAAATAAATCTTCCACACTTTTCTGGAAAACAATTTGAAAAACAGAATTAGATTGTCTGTCTTCGATAATATTTAAGTATATTAACTTTTATAAAGTATTTCTCCAGTCTTCTAGCATGCCTTCGGGGTGTAATTGGAAGCATACTCGACGCGTATTCGAGAGGTCCAAGGTTCGAGTCCCGGCAAGGGCATTGCTAATTTTTCACATCTCCTACTTTCAAAAAATACCTAATGTCTATACAGTGGCGCCCGAGCTAAAAAAAGGTGATGGATAGTGATTCTCCACCACTAGGATTTGATGATTTTGTTCTCTAATCCCCAGTTGCCCTTTAAAAGTGGGAATATATAAGGTTTTTTTCCCGCCTTCTAGCATGCATTCGTGGTAGCATGCTTGACGCGTATTCGAGAGGTACAGGGTTTGATTCCCGGCGAGGGCACTGCTCATTTCTCACATCTCCTGCTTTCGAAAAATACCTAATGTCTCTACAAACTGACTGGTAAATTCTAGCGCAGTTAGTTTTGTGTCAATATGATAAAAGAAAGTTTCTGAAAAAAATATTATGTCTTGGCATGTTTTCAGTCATATTAACCATGTTGCTATAGTGCACAGAACAGAACATAGACGAATAACAATCACTTTCTCATCTTTTACATTTTAGAATATATTTTAGAATCTAAAACGAAAGTTTTGTCTTTGCCAAATTTATTATAAAAGCTAATTAATTAATGCGTGTTAAGCAGCACTTTTCTTTCATCGATTATTTTACATGAAACAGCATGAAAAAAAACCTTTTTTCAAACAATACTTTTATCAAATTCAGCAATGAAATGCAGGTAAAAAATACAAAGTTTAAAACTAGCCATGATTTAGAAAATAGGATCTGTTGATAAAACAATTGCAATAACAATAGGTACTTTGGTTTTTAATGAGCAATTTGAAAAGACAGCAAAGTAAATTACTTCTAATATGTAGTTAAAATTTAATTTAAATATCCTTTGATGTGTTCTTTCTGTTTTTCTTATTTCTTGCAAAGAAATTTCTTTCTACTCAATTTTTTAAAATTAATTGGTTTATATTTAATTGATATGAATCATTAAAATATTCTATCCAACAAGTTCAATTAAAAGGCAATTTATATAGAATTTTTCACATTTTAAGTCTTTCGCAATTACTGTCTCTTTGGTTTCTTAATACATCTCAGCCTTAATGTGTTCTGTCCCAGAGCTTAATGCGCTTACCACAAATAAATAAAAAATAAAAATACTTTGCCATAAATAAAAATACTTTGTCTGGTTTTTGGTGATGTTCAGAGTATTTGCCTAGTGCAAAACGTGGTGCCTACCACAGGGAGCCACACTTGACGATAAGTGAAACATAAAATTTATGGTTGCTTTCCTTGAGCATTAGGTAAGACAAATTCAAGCTTTTGTATTTCTAAGTTTTAAAAAATTGATTTTGTTTAAAATACGAAATCTAACTTCTAAGACATTCCTACTATCTCTATACTTCTAGTTAGAAAAATGTTGCACTCGATATATATATAAACACAAAAGATTTGACTCCTGTTCGATAAAAGCAGACATATTTAATTTCAAATTCTACAAATTTTGAAGTCATATTCAATCTGCATTGAGGGGTCGGTTAGTAAACAAATTAGATATTAGAATAAATAATCATTGATACTTTTTCCTGATTTATCAATGAATTTAAGTTATATTCGGCACGCCGAAAGAATTTTCACACAAGTAATTTGTATGTTTTCAAATTCTAAAAATAAAAAAAAATTAATATGCTCATGTGTTTTATTACTTTGGAATCATAATTTGAAATCGCAAAAATTCATTAAAGTACAAATATTTTTCATTTTTAATTAAGGAAAATAATATTACGAGTTGGCTATATACCTATACTGAGGCCTGCCAGTGTTTTCTAGATCAGGAATTCTGTAAAATTCTACAAATATGTTTTTTTGTTTTGAAAGTAATTACATTGATCAAAATTTTCACAACAGTCCGCATTTAAATGCTCTTCACGTAATCTCTATACATTAAAATCCTT